CCTACTTTCAGAACCGACACGCTTTTTGCTGTGTTTTGTGATTCTCTGGGCAAGCCTCAGCGGCCAGAGCGCACGGTGATCCTTCGGGAGCGAGCGGGCAGCCCAGGGGAATTCCGGAAGCGCCTCGCGCCAGGCGGCCTCGGGGTACGAATGCAGGCCGTTCGCGGAAGGGCAGTGCTTCTGGGCTCCCAGGTCCCAATCTGCCTTGAGCGCGTCCCCGCTTTCAGAATCGGTTGCTTCGTCCTTTGACCCGTTCGTTGCTCCGGCGGGGCGAAGCCTAGTAGGTTTACAGCCTCCCTACTCCATATTTCTGCCCACCTCTGCCGAACGGCCTAGTAGCTGGCCCCAGAGGTTACCGCGGCGGTCCAGAGAGCTCAGGAGTGACCGCGGCCCCCTATAATAAACCTGTTGTGACCCGCGGGTCCTGGGATGCCCACGGCCTACGGCCAAGACGCTGAACTAAGGACCACTTCGGGCTCAGGCGGACCTCTGGTTTTCGGCTGTTCTTTATATCTAGGTCGGGGGCCCTATTCGCAGCCGAGGGCCGCCGTTGCCAGAAACGCCCCTTCGCTATCCTCTTAGTGGCAGACAGTGCCTAAAAGCCTGACCGTTAGGATGCAACTCCTGGGAGGTCAAATTCTGATTTAGCCATGGTCCGAAATCCCGCCTAATCCGGCTTAGTCCCGCTTAATCCCACTTAATCCCATTTAATCCCGCTGAATCCTGCTTAATCCGGCTTAATCCCGCTTGATCCGAGACCTCCCCACTCTGGCGTAACAGCCCCCCCAATGGGGTTGAATCCTCCTTAATCCTTCCGACAAAAGCCTCCCAGTAGTTGCCTCCTCATGACCCCACGAAGCGATATGCTGAAGTGTCTGAGGTGTGACTCGGGAGTCGGCAGGCCGCCCTGCCGCTGGAGCGTCCTCGGCCGCCTCCCTCCCCGGTGAGACGAAGACGCCTCCGCGGAAGAGGGGAAGCGGAGGCATAGGAGGAAGCGCCCCCTGTGGTAGCACGGCGCCTGCAGTCCGACCTGGCCGCGCCCCGCCTCGTCTCTTCTCTCGAAGAAGAGAAAGCGCCACAAACATAAACTTTTGGCGCTCCGCTCGGGCTTCTTGGGTCTGCGCCGGAGCCCCCTCCCTGGCGCGCGGAGCGCGCCAGGGGCGGCGCCAGAGGCGCCGCCGGAGGGGGGGTGGGCCAGCGCGGATCCAAGAAGTCCGCGCGGAGCGCCAAAAGTTTATGTCTATGGCGTTTTGTTATTCTTTTTCGAGTGTGGTGTGGTCCCCTGGCCTCCTCCCCCTCCGCGCTGGCGGGGCCGGCGCGTTTTTTTTTGGTGCCCCCGCGGCCAACGAGCCAACGGGCCGCCCCAGCAGTTCTGCCCCCCTAATACGGCGGGCAGGGGGACCCTGCCCGCCCTGCCAGAGCGGGCGCCATGGACCTCCGACGCCGCGAGGGCGCGCCAGTGCGCAGGCCCCTCCCCCCCGGGGGTTGGGGCGCGCTTCGCCCCAGATCGTCCCCAGAACCCCCTCGCGCTGCTAAAAATCACGGCAGACAGCTTTTCGCTATCTTCGGCCTCTGGGGGCCCTTACCGAGCCTCGGGACCCTTCAAAAGACGACTCAGGATGAAAAGCCGGTCTTGGGGAATGGGTCTGGACCTGCTGGGGATCGCGTCATTCAAAGATCATGACGTCGGGGGTCTGGGTCAGAGCTCCGAATTACCAGGGCTGGGGGTGGTCAGGGGCAGCTACATATTCGCGCCTCAAGAGCCCGAGCCAGAGTCACCCCTGACCGCAGTTATCCCAGATGATTCGGGCGCCCGGCCTTCCGAGTCATCAGGGCTGGGGGCGGTCAGGGGGCAACTACAGATTCGCGCCTCGAGGGCCCGAGCCGGAGCTACCCGGGCAGTCATCCCGGATGATTGGGGCGTCCAGACCTCCCGAGTCATCAGGGCTGGGGGCGGTCAGGGGCAGCTAAAGATTCGCGCCTCGAGGGCTCGAGCCGGAGTTGCCCCAGACCGCAGTGATCCCGCATGATTCGGGCGCACGGCCTTCCCGAGTCATCAGGCCTGGGGGCGGTCAGGGGCAGCTACGGGTTCGCGCCTCGAGGGCCCAAACGGGAGTTACCTCGGAGCGCAGTCATCCCAGATGATTCGGGCGTCCGGCCCTCCCGAATCATCAAGGCTTGGGGCGGTTGCGGGGTATAGGTACGGGTTCGCGGCTCGGGGGCCCGAGCCGGAGTTACCCCAGACCGCAGTCAGCCCGGATAATTCGGGCGTTGAACTCAAGGAGGGGGTTCGAGCAGATGGGTCGCGCCGCTTCGCCGATGCGTCGGCGACGTGGAGCCCGATCTTCTCTACGACGGCGTCGCCGACGCATCGCCGACGTCGCGGATGCATCGCTTGCGCATCGGCGATGCAGCGCGGCGATCTTCTGATCCCATCTACGCGGACCACAGTCGGGAGATCTGCACTGAAGGGTCCACGGGCCCGAGAAGGGCACCCAGAGAAATTCTGGCGTCCGATTAACTGTTCTTCGGCCCGTGGGCCCCGAGGTCTCAACCCCTTCCGATGCAGAAGGCAATTGTTTGATCCTGGGTCCACTCTTTGATGGTCCTGGGGCCCCCAACACGGCCCCTGGAGGCCGAAATTGAAGGGAAAGCTTTGATTGTCAAAGGTCACTCCGCCCGGAGCCTGGGAGTGGCCGAGAACGCGGGCACTGAACACGAATCACGGTGTCGGAGGTATGGACAGCTTCGTCTGCACAGTCGGGCGTGGTTTTTTAGCTAGCCGGCGCGGGCAAGCAGGACGCGCGCCAATGTCGGGTGTTGCTAGAAGTACCCCTGGCCCAACGTACCCCCAGGATTCTCAGGGTGGCCCAGGCGGCCTCCCAGGGCACCCCTCACGAGGCCCAGAGGGCCCCAGGGGCTCCAAAACGGAGCCAAAAGCTGGGGACACCTTGGGCCAGGGGCACTTCTAGCAACACCCGACAATGCGCGTTTACGCCCTCGCATAAGCTTCAGCAGCACAGCAGGGGCGTCAGGTGAGGGTCGGGCTGTCGACTGGTGCCGCACGGGAATCGCTGATCCCCCAGAGGCCTTAGGGGACAACACGAGTCTTGAGGCACCTTGGGAGTGTTGAGCGTGGGCGACGCAAGGGCCCCTTGGGTGTCTGATAGCAAGATGTCAAGGCATGAAAATGGATCGCGACACCTGTGACTCGCGTTTGGCTGAGCGGCCCTGATATTTTTCTACTCAAGTCGTCCTGCCGTGGTCGGTTCTTTCCTGCGGTGCATATACGGAAGGACCTCTCTCTCGTAGGGGGCGCTTATTCTGGGTGTGTTTTTTTTTCTGTGATACGTCGTTACACCTTCAGCCAGCATACAGTGATAACCCATGCCAAGAAGCACCCTGCTTGCCTCCAGGGTGCCCTGGGTATCTTGGGTTTCGATGGTTTTGCTATGGGAAGCGTGACGTTCCCACACCAAACATCGGTGGACGTCCTGGGGTCTCAGGGTTGGGTTTCTTGTGGAAGGCTTCTTGTGGTCGAGCTCCTACTGTACCCCCTGCCCCCCGATCGTCCGATCCGAGAAGGGCCGGTGGTACCTGGAACGCGTCGCCATCAGAAAGAGGGGGTTACGATGGCAATTGCACCGTGCATGGCCCATTCCGACCCGATCGACCCGACTCCATATAGATTTCGGCGGGCCCGATCCGATCCGATTCCGAGATTCCGATGCGGCCCGATGCGGCCCGATGTTTGTATGTCGTTGCTGTGCATCCTGGCGCGGCCGATCGGACTCGATTCCGACTCCGTGCCGATGCAGGCCGATCTGGCATATCCACAGAAGAACATGAAGAAGAAGACGAAACAGACAACTAAAAAGGCATAACAAGGGGAATAAGTAGAAAAGGAATACAAGTACAAGTATAAGTATAATAATCATAATAAGAAGAAGCAACAGTCTGCCAGCAGGTTCCCCACGAACATGTCGCATATATCCCCAAGGCGCGGCGGCCACGGGACGGCGCGGCTGCGCACTCTGATGGGGAGAGGGGGCCCCTGCCCTCCTGCAAGAAAACATGAGGAAGAAGAAGGAGGAGGAGTAGGAGGAGGAGAAGGAGGAGGAGGAGGAGGAGGAGGAGGGGGAGGAGGCGAGGGTG